TACCAAGGGGTTTGTGAATAGTAACTTTCAATTTTAGCGACGAGCTTTTCGAAACTACTAAAGCATTAAATTATCAGGTGGTATTCGAATATTTCGTTTGAAGCGTGAATATATCGACCTTTTATATTGAAATTTTAATAAAAAAAATCAACTCAAAAAATACTATATTGCTGAGGGATATTAATAAATGATAGTGCCACAGGTATGTATGTAGATATTTTAATTAAAAAATGATCTGGTAGAAGCGCATATCAAAATCAAGAGGAATGGTTAAATGTACTCGTTAAAAATATTCAACAGTACTCGTAAATGATTATGAATATTTTATCTATTAAAACGGAAATATCTTGAGTTTAAAATTAGTACAGCATGAGTTCATATTAGATTATTGACCCATTTTTAATTTTAATACTTTAGAAGGACTTTTATTATCAATAACTGTTCTATGAATTATTAGAATATTATATCTTAATATTAATCTGCCTCTTTCCAAAAAAAAATATTGCAAAATAATCTCGATATCACTTCATTATTTTACATAAACATAAAAAATTGACCGACATTGCATTTAATAATTATACTATAACTAGAGATAACAATAAACAACAACAATTTGATTATAATTATCAATTTCTCGGAAGCGGGGTTTTTCAGAAAGCGTAGGTGTGCTCCTATTTACAAAATTAATCATCACGCTAATTTTGTCGATTTTAACAATTTTATCTCCCCCGCGTACGGCGCTCGGAGAACGTTTTCCTTAAAGTCCGGCCGAACGAAACGGATCTCGAAAAAGGGAGAAAAAGACCGGTCGAATCTTATTTTGAGCCCCCCAACACCAACAACCGTCCTGGCCGCGTGGCTGAACCGGACCAAAAGCGATTCGCGAGTCTAGCTGGAAATGGCTACAGAGCGTTCGGCTCTCGCAGCCGATCCAATCCTGACCGGATCAATACGAGCGGCAATCCGGCAATAGAACTCAAAAGTGGTATGTGTTAGAGGTGTATAAACAGTCACGTATATCGAGTGTTACTAACATAAAGTATAGTTGTAGAGATTGGATTTAGATCGCTATCAATTAGCACTTGGAGAAACTTAGTCATAATTCCTCTGCGAAGTTTCGCAATAAAATATTTTATTACATCGAGGGGAAACAACGCTTTCGTTTCGTCTATTATATTGGAAAACACACTCGGAAAAAATATACAGTAGCGCGAGAAATATACCAGAATAAAAACGATGAAGATTGCCATCAATCGAACTGCACAAAACATCTACCATTCCATCGAATTCTATATCTAAGTAGCAAAATAACCGTTGGCGAATAACGCTCGCACCTCTTCAACAAACAAATAAGATACCTACTCCAACTCCAACAATGTTCCGTAAGATTTCGTGAGCGTGAGAGTCGTGCGCTTTACATCACACAGAAACTTTTAAAAACGTTTAAACTACTCAAATACACATTATTTACAGGGCAATTCACGATATTGTTAGAGGTCGCTTTCTTTCCAGTCCGAATTCGATGCGGGGAATCGTAAAAACGGTGTTTACGTCGGTCGAAGAAATGAAAAATGATAAAAAAAAGAACGCGCACACAGCGATCGAAAAAGAAAACGCCGACGAAATTGACGGGGCAATGATCAAAGGTAGCAATCACGGTGTTTAATGAATGAAAAAAAAATCATTGCAGGACGAGTACCCCATTGTGTTCGTTGCGCATTTATCTGGGAGAAATTTTAGTTCCCATTGTCGGATGTTAAAAGTTATCAATTTGGAAATGAAAGCATCTGGCGACAATCGCGGCGGAAAATTCTGGTCGGAGTCCAAAAATAACGGGATTTGTCCAATTTTTTTATAGGCATAATACTCATTTTTCGAATTCGCCCATTTATTAAAGCAAACTCCCGTCGATATCATTCGAATATGACTCACCCTAAGCAATAAACGTTTTTTTTTATCGAAATCAAAGAGTAGGGATTCATATTATAAAGAGGTGAATTTGCTTTGAAGGTTAGGGCATCGCTTCGTTGACCTCGTCCCTTTAAATTGGAATTATTGCGACATTGTCGCGTGCATTTCGATATTCTATAATAACAGCGTTGTCATTCTGCCCTATTCACTGCTCACGAAGCAGCGTTGCCAAATCCCTAAACCAAAAATTGTAGTAAATCAAAAAGGATGAGATTTTCGACGTAAACTATCGACTGATGAAATTTAAGGAATCAACCAGATTTAGTAACCAAAACAAGTTGGGGATCAGCTCGAAACTTCAGTGGTTGAAAGTAGTTGATGGGATATACAAGTTGTTAAGTGAGCGATGGGGCTTGATCAGGCTCATAAACCAGGCCTAGAATCCATTTAATACCCACAACATCCGTATTAGAAATATGGCTCAATTATAATGAGCATTAACCATTTAATTCAACGTTTTCCACGACTTACTTGTTATCTTAATCCATTCTTAGAAATTAGATGATGAATAGTTACACCTTTATGCAGGTACTTACTGAAATACACACACACACATAAACGCATATGTTCAGCCGAAGGAAACGTTACATTCTTCATAGCGCAAGGCCAACGGGTTCTTTGTGGTGCTGTTTTATTTGAATGAGATATTGTGGTAATGAAGTTAATACAAGATACTATTAAAGCTTATGCTTATATAGAGGCATTGAGGAATCTACTCCATAGAATCTTGTTTATTTTGCGCCGATTTGCACCTGCTTAGTCAATTGATTTCAAATAAGCTGATATTATCGTTAGAGGGTTCCGGTTGAATTAGATTTCAGGCATTTTTTTTAATTTAAACGCATAAATAATATAATATACGAGCAATAAATAATAAAGTAACGTGGAGCGCGAAAATTCTGTTGGAAATTATATATGGTGTTCCAGTCAGTAATACTTCAATTAGTAGTATAGATATGATTTGGTTGGGTGGACACGTTGAAGTCTATTATCTTGGACAAAATAAAGTGAACCCAAACTCAGCACTTTGTTACACATCAACAACGCCCTTTTTAGATACCTACTACAAAATATCATATTGACAATTCAAACAATATACTACGTAACAAAAGCAAATACAATTTATTTCATTAACAATTGTATAATTCCAACAGTACTTGAAAAGTATTCATTAATATTTGGGCTACTAATTTATTTACTAAACAAACAAATAAAGGGTGTTTTAATTAAATACATTACATCATTAGGTATTTCAACAAAACCACTTACTCGTTCAAATAATAACAGCTCCTCAAGTTAATTGACCGGTTAGTAAACAAACATTATTAGAAGTCGAATATCAAATGGAGAAATAAATTTGGGTTCGGTTAAAAAAGAATTTCGAATTGTCACCGGGATTTGTCGATGCGAAACCGGCGGTCAATCAAGTGGTGGAGGGTACATTCGTACATGATAAAAATGCAAATTTACATCCGACCCGGAGCAAACACAAGAAAACCTTCGTTATTGGGTGCTTGTCGCCGTCAAATACACTTTCCTGTCATTAAATTTGAAAATTTTCTCCCTTTTTCACCGCATTAAAAACTTTATTCGTGATTTTCCGGAGTTGTCTGGCTCGTATATATTTTTTAAACCGATCATAATACATTATTTCATCCGGCCACGTAAGAGAATGACCTCATGTTTTCTCCAAACAAAACCCTTTTCTATTACGATAAAAGATTTTAATCGATTTTTCTCGCAAAGGCTTCATAATCGGATTTTCACCCGTGTAAACTTATATTTCGTAAACACAAAAAGACAAAATCGGCAAACAATGTACGTAAGTACTCACGGGGTATTTTTATAGAGAGCAAGGCATTAGAAAAACCGGCGGAAATTCCTCTTTTCTTGCGGTTCAAATGGGTTTGAGACGAAAGCTATCTTAGGGACTGACTTTAAATTTTTCCATATACCGAGTTCGGGGCCATGTGTTTTGCTTTAAGTTTTAAGGACTTAAGTGCTTGTCTCACTTAGCGTTTCTATTTTTTTTTTAATGTTTTCCTCGATTTACTCTTACATATAGATGTTCCATTGTACTTATGAATGAAAGATTCGCCATTGTTAGATGCATATAAAAAGTACCGGGAGATTATAAAAGAAGGTCCCCAGAAAATAAACACGACTCGGCGTAGTATTCACATAAAACAAAACCGGTAGGTACTTATAATAGAAGTGTTAAAAGAAAATGAATTTTACCGCATACGAGTCGCCAAATGAGATTCGAACCAATACAAGATAGATACGTTTCGGCGGAAAGGAAAATTAAAGTTAGCAACAGCATTGTAAACACAACAATAAAATTAGCGAAGTTGTCGCCTTTCGGAAAAATTTTAATTACACTATGACTAGTATATGCGACGGCGTCGTTCTCACGGGAGAATAAAATCCACCATTTTAGTGCATCGTTCGGTCCTTTTTAACACCTATTCGTAAAGACGTCGGAATGCGAAATGCTAATATTAGGTACGGGTAAACAAGAAAACGATAAATGGCATACGAACATTTTCTCGGAAATTGCTTATGGTAACGCGCTCGAATGCAGCCTTCTAATTTTTTAATGACCTTCGGATACGTCGAATGGGCAATTTCTCTAAAAAAAAACAATTTCCAATTATTTCGCGGCGAAATCGAAAAACAATTACCCCGTTATGAGCCTGGTGTAATTTGCGCACAGGTGAAATGGATCTTAAATACTAACTCATTTAAATTGCATAATTGCATCTTTCGATATAATAAGTCATCGTGTAGCTGTAAGACATAATTTAAATGCGACTAAACGCCGCATGCAGACAGTATACAGACTAACTCTAGAGAATATGACGTATGGCAGACGGTAATTGACGTTCCTTTCTCTTTACAATTTTCCTCGAACGATCTTTTAAAATTATTCAATTAACGGTACGCTATTAAATAAAAGAGCGCTTAATGCATGCATCATCGAGAATATTACGCAAACATCGGATGTCGAAATAATTAAAAAGACTTACCGTTTGGACGCACTGGTGGCTGGGCGAGATGAAGTCCAGCCCTCGCTGGCCCTTTCCGCTGAAGCAATTCTTGATGTTCTGCATGAATTTCCTGCGTATGGACTTGAGCGAATAGACGCACAAAGCGGACAAATTGGACGGTTTGTTCGCGACGATCGGATCGCTTTCGCTGAAAACGGCGAACAGAACGTCATCCTGCGCGGTAATGCCCAAATCCGAAGCCAGATCGGAACCAGCCTTGCCGACGTAGGCGGCCTGCACCAGGTTGTACTTCCTGCCGCCCTGCGCCTCGCTGATGCAATCCATCGGTATCTCCGTGTAGGAGTAGTAGTTCTCGTCGTCGTGGCACACGCGGACCAGCTTGCTGATGAACTGGCTGGAGGTGGTGTGCTTCATTTGCGTGGTCAGAAAGTAGCTGAAGCCCTCCGAGGCGAAGCCGTAGACGTAGGTGATCGGATACCGTTCTCTGGCCAGCGAATTGACGAACATCCTGGTGCCCGTCGTGACGGCCGTTTGGGCTATCGAAAACATCTTGTCTTTGTCTAGGGATCGGCTGCTGACGGCGGGCACTTCGGACCGGTAAGGGGAACCGACGGTGAACGTGACGCCGACGTACATCACCTGCGATACCGGGGGATTCGGCGGCCCGGGGGCGATAAACGCCACCGTGGAGACGGTCGCGTTGTTCGCCACGACGGCCTCGCGCACCTCCTGGCTTCCTTCGGATATATTTTGTAAAGGTCTAACTGAGCAAATCCCCTGGGACAGACTCCCGCAAGATATTAGCCTGGAGGTGGTGTAATCGATCACCAGGGCCTTGTTGACATTGTCGGTGAGCTTCTTATTTATCGCGCTGTTGCATTCGACTACTGAGCAATCGTCGGAGTCCAATTTCGGACCGGTTACTTCCGTTATCACCGAATCTAGGTCGGGCGATAGTTGGTATAAACGGTTTATGGCTCCGATGTAGACGCGCCCGGTGTTCTTATCGATCACTAGGTGGTTGAAAGCCCGCACTTTCGGATCCGAAAATGTCCTTACTATTTCTTTTGGTGTGACTGCTGTTCTCGCCATGGTCATCACAGCGGCCAGGATCACGAACGAAGGAAAGGACCGCTTCATGGCGGCACCAAGTTTGTTTCTCTTTCACGTCATTTGGCTCTCTGAAACAACAAATAAATCATTTTATACATTTCATTCCGATCAGAAGATCCGAGAAAATCAGATATAGTTTAAAGTCCTCCAAAAATATAAATTAGTGATGGTTTTCTACTTCGATTTTTCTGTTATACCGATTCATAATAAACCAACAACGGTAAAGTCAATAGAGTATCAAACAATAAAATCTCCTGTAACGTTATGGATGTAGGAGAAACAAACATGAAAAATTAAACTTACAGGTAAACAAGAGATTCGGGAAGAGAAAAACGCTCAAATCTGTGTTGTTCTAAAAACTCATCTTTTTATCACAAATGAGACTTCAGTAAACAGAACTGAGAAAGGCAAATAATTTTATCAATACTGACGGAATTCATACGAACGCTAGCGAGCCATTCACCTCCGCTTCGAATGTGTATATTCGAGGAAAATGCTAGAAATGCTGAGCATGACGTTTTCGTTTTCCGTTCATTTTTATCTAATAACTGTATGAAGAAATTTAACATTAGCATTTAATGTGAAGTGATGTTAACTATTATACGAATACGTGCAGTCGACTTTAACCATACCTATACATGACAAATAAAAAAAAATCAGTAACAGAGGTGTAGATAACGGAACGTTTCTATATAAAATAATCACATCTCTATACCAGAAATTTCTACAACTTTATCCTTTTATATTTCGCATACATATAATTGAATTCGCCTATACTAAAAGTAAGTGAATATACAAATTTAAACCACTATAGGCGGTATATGTATACCCACTCAGCTATTTTGAGTTTCGTACGGGATACATACAAATTGAATAGAAATGTTTTTTGCCATACGGGAATTTAGTATTATTTCAATGATCCTATAGAACAATGCAGCTTTAGGATTCGAGGTTAAATGGCCGACCTCGTTCCGCAGGCCCGATGCGATATGTCACATTTCAATAAAATGGAAATGGAACGCGCCACCGTGATGGAGGGCCGTAATTTAAAATGACGGCCCGGAAACGCACCGGCATACCGTCGTGTACTTTAATAATGTGCGATCAAGCTCTACCTATGGCAATCAAATTCCAATTTAAAAGAGATATGTTTCGCTAGCATTTATTGCTTTATGGGAGTGCAAATTGACAACGGTCCGGATCGAATCGAACCGGCTGTCCCGAAGATTTAGTACGCAGGTAAGTGCTGGGACAATAACTAAATGAGTTTGCCGTGTGCATGCCGGGAAGTCTTCAAGCTCTTATCAAGAATAGGGAACAAATTAATCTTCAAAGTAGCAGAGTAAACAACATCAACTCATAAATTCATTAAGTATCTGGCTTCCTTTGCGAATCGCAAGTCTTTGCAGCACCAAATTGTGCTAGTGGAAAACTAGAAGAAACAAGTAGCTTGTAAAATCGTTTTTGTATTTTTGCTTTTAATTAACGTATTGCCTTCCGCTTCGTACTAAACAGGTTATATGCCTAATAGAAGCAAATAGCATTAACCGAACTATTGTTGCATTAAATTCGTTCAAAAATTTGGAACCGGAGCAGAGCACGCACCGGTTGAGTTGAATATTTCGCCATAAGTTAGCTAACGAGCGCAATTAAGACAATTGAACGTGTAATAGAAGGATAAGAAGTCATCTTGCCGTTGTCTAAGAATCAATGGAAGTCCTCAGTAACGAGATAATAGGAACAGGGGGGTCAAAATTCCTCGAGTCGCAGATGTTGCTGATTTCCATTGCAAGCAGTTGCTTGTGCGCTACAATTAGATACCTCTATATACCGATCATTAAGTTACAAAGATCTGCCGGCGTTGCCAATTCAACAAGAGTACGAATTTATCGGAAATGTCGGAGTTTTTGTGCTACTAAATCCCCGACAATGAATAACCAAGTGTCACTCAAATGTTCCGCTACGAAACGTAATTTTGTTACTTATTGTACGAAGCGAAACTTCTTTGCAGTTGGCCCTTCTGAAACAGCATTCTGCACATGTACATATATTTCTCGAACAATTCCTGAATGTATTAGTCACATTTGCAAACTAACTGTTAACTTATGACAGAATATTGACTTTTCTAGTTGAAAGTTTGGTTTGGTAGTTTACAAATCTCTCCAAAGTGTCGCTTAATTCCGCGGAAACTACTTAAAGTTGACAGTATGTGATAAATGGCAAAGGTGGTTTCCTTGTTATCTGAGATCGCTCTAATTAACGCAGACCGCAAGCAATAAGTACCATCTCCGCCTTATTTCGTATATAAATGCGAGTCAAAAGGGCAAATTGTATTCGATACAACATCTATTAGTATTTTTTGCAGATATTCACAATAGTTTGTTTTAAAATTATGCCAAATGACAGGAAGAAAACGCTTAAAATTTGAAATATCTATTAGTGGGTGTTATGTAGAGTAACTCCATACAAAACTCATACAGTAAATGTTGTATGAAATACAGTTATTAGTATAAGAATTAGAGATCATGAACCATGAAATTAAGTATGGGTGCAATAATTCATTTTTAACATTAAACTAACGATACACCTAATCATTAAAAATAATATTACTGATAAACTCATTTTGATGTTTACGGTTTAATCTAACGTTTCCATAAATATGACAATTATTTTTATTAAATAGAGTTCTAAATTTGAATATTATATCTGCTAAATTTCCATAAATGAATATTAAGTTTTCCAGTATACCTTCGTACGTTTTAGCACTTAAATCTAACGTTGATTAGTCCTTCGCTAATTTCTGTCGTCGCAAAACGTTAGAGTAACGTTTAGACAAGGGTTGGAGTACTGCATAATAGAGGGAATATCCAAGTGAATAGGTAAAAGTGAAAATATTTGTAGCTGTCACTTAGGAACAATATAAAGGAATAAAACATCGGAAATGATTTGGGTCTCGTGTCCGAATGAACTTTGGTAAATTCGTTCGAATATGCAGGCTTAGGTGGCTCGCTTAATCAACATTAAAATATGCAAGTACTATGCGGGTCAGTAATTAACCAGTTTATTACATTAAATTAGTACTGTATGATAAAATAATTTATGAAATACCGTAAAGTCTGGTGTATGTTACTTCAATAGTGAAATTTGAGGAATACACTTTTGCAAGTAGTCTCTTAACAAAACACCCTGTCGGTATGGCAGGAAATTCTTTAGTTCGGAATCAGGGCGCAATCATGCTGGTATGAAATGACGCGGACGTAGACATGTCATCTGTGCAATGCCATGTGAGTGACAGTCCGATCGACCGAGTAATGATTGTAGTGACGTAAATTCATTAGATACTGGGAGAATCTCTATTCTCATTAACCTGATATTAATCCTGCGGTCTTACCTACAATTTCATTTATAGACTCGCGCACGTGAATTAACGTCAAATCATTCCGCACACTCTGTAACGTGAAGGTTTAGCTAAGCGAAGCTAAAATTCCACTGAACGAAATCGCTTCAAAAATAAATATAACAATTATAACCAGTAAGATAATTTCAACGAAATTATGACGGCGAGATAAACATTATGAGGTGCAATATGGGTTGTACAAACACAACATGTAGTTTCAATGGGATTCCATACTTGGGCTTATCTTTTTTTTTTCGTATTAATTCCATTTGCTGGAGAGATAAGTTTTAAGCGTACAATTGAAAATTAGCTGACTCAAGCAGACGTGAATCAGATTCGAGAAATATTTTTCTTGCATTAGCAGAGTCGTTTCGATTATACCTTTTACAGCGAGAATATTATTAATAACGAATTTATTAAAGCATCATTCGGCTCGATAATGACGCGAAATCGATTATTCAAAATTGAATATTTCCATGCCGAGAAATAGAGATAAGATTTGGATTTCCTGTCGGTTTCCCGAAATGGAATATAATCACTCTCTCCAGAAGAATATAAAAATTCTACGGTTATATACGCGTCCAGAGATCTCGAAGGTGAAAGTCGGATTGAAATGTGCGTTTTAGCGGGATATCATTTCCAAAAAGGGTGGAAAAGAAAAACGCTCTTCTTTATTTCCTTACACTGCAAAAAATATCCGCCGAAAATTCATTCCAAACGCAAACAAAACAAATTTTCCTCCATGTCTTCTCAAATACCGGGGAATTTGATTAATTGATTTTTAGATTTCAATAGACCTAAATTTCTAGGTAGGCTTACTATCATCACCCCATATCCCGTCCCTCTACCGCTGTTTAACTAATGTGTTGTATACATTTTAAATAGTTTTACATCATTAGAAAACGTGCGTTCTAGATTCTTTGAATGGTTTAGTGACAAAATAAATTAACGATTCGGCACAAAGCGACTAAACATTTTAACCAAACGAATCAATTCAACTAAAACACCGAATAAACAAATTGATTTCCAGCAAACACAAGCACAGGTGACCAGCTCCAACTCGCTTGTTGCTACAGTTAAAAACGGCGGATCAATTGTAAAGCAGAAAGTACGAAGTAAAATTTTTATCTACAGTTTCGAACGTAAGATAAAAAGGGTACCTTAGTGTAGTATGAAAACGACCCTTTTTTAACGCGCTGTCAAACGTTACCCTCGTGCGAAACTTTTATCGAAAGGGGAAGCGCACATACTCGTTTATCTGTTTAGACCCCGACAAAAATTAAAAAATACCTTTCGGTCTCTATTACAAAAGGTTGCTTGTGAAGCCACTAAATAAGTCCTCCATAAAAAGGGCGTTTCCGAAAACAATTCGATAACGTATACAGCTGATAGAAATGGAATTTCCAGTGAAAGCCAGCAATTTTGCAAATAATATATTTTTTACAGTGTACGTACTTATATAAGTTCGGGTTTGCTCGCCTTTGAGTGCATAAAATAGGGGCGGAAGATGGAACCTGAAGCCATATTATTTTATTAGTCTTGTTGAATAGAATCTATGAAATTTCGGGGAGGGTCGCATGATTCTATTTATATTTATACGTACTTGGGGTCAAATAGTATTATCGTCCAGTGATAGGGAGTTTCCGATGTTTTCGTCGATTTGTTGTTAAT